CACACACACACAATGTCCCATGTATGCGCCCGTGGCAAGAAAAGCACGCAAATCTACAAATGCACTGGATGTGAACCCCCAGATTTTCTCTTATAGCAACGATAGCGGATCTGATCCTGAATGAAACACACACACACAATACAATCATTGAATGCCCATCCGCAGATGATGGCAGGTCCTGAAAGAACAGGCAGTGTTCCAGTGATGGGGAAAAGAACTTCGAGTGGCGAGTGAGGTATACACACACACGTGCGTGCGCGGGCACACACTTAAGTATTCAGAAATAGAATCGACATCGTAGTATTCATTGGTTGGGGAATGGAAAGGAAAATAAAACATTGCTGTAGGTTATTGTTGTAAGGACACTGGGAACACAACAGAAGGGTAAGCAACTTGCTTTGAAGCAAAGAAAGTTATTATTCCACGGATCTCAGAAGGAAGGAACGTTCCAGAATGCTGCACTGGCAACAGGCGGCCTGCATGTGCGCGGCCCCTGCAGTCGGTCCAGCTGCCGGCCTTGCAGTGCTGAAAAGAATGTGCAGTACAGCATGTCACATAGTATCGCAGCCTGGACAAATAGGCGCTGGGAAGTCCTAGTTATGTGCTCACCTACACCACGATGCACCAATCTTCTGAGCTACTTTGGCAACAGTTTTGTCCACTTGAGACTCCCATGGGCTGAGCCAGTTGTTGAGGGCTGCACCAAGGTGGACGGCAATGACCGCTGATAGCAAGGCAATCCATGACACACAGTCACTAGGGCATCGTCAACATGGCGCTGAGGCTGGATCGATAAAATCAACCTTAAGGCTGCCGCGGGGTTGACAACGAGGCCGCTGTCTCGAAGCTAGTCAGTCAGCCTGGTCACCGCCATTGACGAACCAGTCGCCACCGCCAGCAGTGGCGGTAGGTTGTGACAAGTGTGGTGCAATATTGTCAGCAAATTCAGTACTCAGGATAAGATGAGTGACAAAGGGAATGTTGTGTTTGATAATATTGAAGTGAACAGGGATGATCACAAACCCTGCGCGTACTCCACCGTGAGTTACAAGAAAATTCCGGACTGGACGATGAGCAAACACCAACCTGCTACATCCAACCAGGCAGATACTATTACGATAGCTGCCAAACCAGGTCAATGCCGACCTACTGCATAGTGTCAACAAACAGATCCTGCAGGAGAAGACTGGGGTGTTGGCGTCCAGTCACTGAGTGTACAGACACCAGTCACATTTCCTGCGTCTTTTGCAGCATACAGGATAGACTCATCACTGTAAAGTCCACTACTTCGTGATTTTTATTTGTAGAATACATGACAGGCGTATTCAGTGTGCCTCGCAGGTCTGCGAGATGCTGCAGAAGACCAGGTTCGACCTTTCTAGACCGCCATTCACCGACGGTGGGCTACACGATGCTGGAGGAACTAGATTCCAGTGAAAACCCAAGATTCCTTTGCTCCTGGACGCTCCGACGTGTTGTGATATCTGCCAGGTGCGCAGTAACAAGTATTTTCATCGCTATAGCGAGGACGACGCCGATCGGCAAACTCTCGCTCACAGCCATCACCAGCCTCTCAAAACCATCACTTGGCATCCCCCAGAGGTATAGGAGAAAGCCAAAACAGCTCTCAACAAACAAAAGCTAAGGACGATGGAAAGAGAGCATGTCAAAAAGAAGACGAACAGTATGAAGTTCAAAATTTAATGGTTTTGAACACTCGTACCACCAACTATACCACTTTCAATAAATCGTGACGCCATTTTGTTTTAACATGAATATCGCGGGTTGGGTATGAAATCATAGTCTGTACTATTATTATTATTATTTATATTATTAATTTATTCTTCTTTTACTAGGGAATTCCCAACAGGCGTCAGCGCCTTTTGTACTGAGAGACGCCGGTAATGGGTGTCACTGGATCAGGATGGTAGGTCTACTTGATAGCAAGCCGATCAAGACTGCGGTGTTCGGCGGTGTTCGGTCAGGCTTTCAGTGAGTTGGTCAGGAGGAGGTTTCGTTTGGCCATGTTTGGCCATGCAAGCGCTAGAACTCAGAAGATCCGAAGAGAGAAATGTCTTGATCGCGCTTTTCTAGGGCGTTTTGTGTGGTACCAAAAGGGCGTAAGGGTGGGGTTTACATTGTGGAGGGAGGGGAAGAATCGAAAGTGTCGAAAGAGTCTAGCACAGATGAGCATAAGTAGATCCAGACTCATAAACTAAGATATGAAACCGGATACGCCTGAATTTTGTGAATCGGTAAGTACAAGAGTACTTGTGGACGTTATGTACTCTTGGTAAGCATTATGAAGTTTCCTCAACTGCAGCTTAGACAGCCGGGACTGTCTTAGGACAAATTCCAACCTTGTGTGTGTGTACAAAATTGTTTCTGCCCATTCTCCTAAGTGGTGGACGTGGAAAATGACTCTACCGTAGCAGAGTCCAGCAGAGACAGCATAGGAAAGCCTCATAAAATAATCTTTATTTAAGGATTACCCAAAGGCCAACGCCTGTCTGGGGATCTCCTATTTGTGTATGTACTATGTTTGTGTGTGTATTACATAATAAAGGAGAAGAGAGAAAGCACGCAAAGTGAGTGTGAAATGTTGGATTTAATGAACACAAGGAAAGAACAAGCATGTATATCAATGATTGCACATCAAAGGTGTACCATTGCCGTCGAACTTATGCTTTGCAATGTGAATAATTATGTAGATGACGTTTGAATTCAGTTAGGGAAACTAAAGTTGTCAATCGGGTTGGAAGACAATTCCAAAGAGAACCAGTTTACTGTAAGAAAAGGAATGAAAAAGATGCAACCATGTGAGAAAAAAATGAATGAGCTTTTGGGGCCTACGGGCACTACGTGATAATATCACATTATGATTATCGGAAAGCGAGAGAGATATTCTGGGTGGAAATTGATGTACTTAAATGAAACAGCAAGAGAAATAAAGATACGGCAAAATTTCAGGGATTCTAAACCCTAGTTCACATTCGACGGGACGCGACGTAAGGATCGACGGGAAGCGACGGGACGGTCTGACGGTGTCCAATGTTAACACCAGGAACGGAAACGCAACCATACTACCGTACATATCGGGAAGCGACGGGAAGAGCTGAACCAATTCAACTTTTCATACAGTGAACGGGTGTAGATGGGGACACAAGTGTACGAAACGGCTGCAATTTGAGTGTGAACAGGAGACGGCGTCGTGTGCCGACTACTCCCGATTCGCACTTGAAAATGTTTAGCATTTCGACCACTACGCTTTCCAGGATAACTCACAGAATGGCTAGCACGACTTGAGTTGAATTTTAGCAAAATAAGGTCTCATGTCACGTATTGTACATGTATTTAGGGATAGTTCAAGAGTGTGACAGACGAACTGTCCTACCATTTCTTGGGGTTATTATTTAAATGGCACAATTTTTAGAGCTGCCTTTTTGGTCTTCATGAAAACTGGTATTGTGAACTTGATTCCGCTTCATTCAAGGAGAAATAATTGAAAAGAAGTCCCGAAAAACAAGAAATTAGATCCGAATGTCACCACGTCACTGACCGGTCGTGCCTTATGACCCGCGCCGTTCGACGTTGAACATGGCAAAAACTGCTGCATGTCGTGTTGAAGAATCGTACAGGGTTTTACAGCTTGCCCCAGCTGTCCCGACAGCCCAATTCGCTTAGGGAAAGAATAGAAAAACTCAGTGGTTAGAGGATCGCTGGCCTGTAGCGAAGATCCCTATTTCGAGTCCTGGTGGTGACAATCCTTTTCAACTTCCACGATTTGTAAATACATGATTGTACTTCGAAGTAGTAGAACAAGGTTATGATGTGACTTATAGTGATGTCATGCTCGATCTCCCTTTTAACTCTTTGAGGACGAAGGACGAATATATCCGTTTTTTAAGGTATAGCTGGATTCCTAAAGACGAGTATATCCGTTTTTGAGAAAATTGCGATATCGATATATTTTTAGGTGCTTGAAGTCGCTCATATGTTGCTCAGACGAGTACGATCTGATTCTTCATCAAGGTGAGACGTGTCGCAGTCGATCCGCGTCGGTGCCGTGGAGAACCGGCCACATTTGAGTATACTCAGAGAATGCGCCGATCGAGAAATTATTTGGAATTTGAAACTAACTTGTTACTTTGTTGAGAGTGCCGATGGCACGTAACCTGTCAAGTGTCTCCTTGTCTGAGGCCCTCGGCATTATCTTTATGAGCTGCGATAGTGAGGATGAACAGTGCGATCCTTTTTACTTTTCTGAGGATGACAGCGAAGTCAATGTTGGCTAAATTCGTGGCGATACCGCTGACGCATGTTTCGCAACATACACCTATTTTGAATTGACCATTCTGACCTCTACAATGGATATATGATATAGAAACTTTGGTTTTTGTTCCCTACTTGATGTCTATGTCTCTTTAGAACCAAATTTTATGACACTAGATCAATTTTTGAAAATACCGATTTTTCGCCTGAAAATGGTAGGAATCCAGGTGGTTTTGGGTAGTCCTCAAAGGCCCGGTTAAATCTTCATAGGATAAGCATGGCACTGAGCATGAGGGTACTAATAGAACGGATCAAATTCGACTTACTATGGGCAGTATGGGTACTGATGGCCTTGGTCCTCCATGCAGCTGGTGTAACGCCATTGTAATGGGGTGCACGCACTGACTGCATTGCTGGCCGTCTACATGTACATAATATATACACAATGTACATCATGCTGGGCTCAATCCCCCAGACAGCTAACCCACCGAGATCAGACTGAGTGACTGGACGGTCGCACTGAATGACAACTCCACCCCGGATTGTTTTACTATACTCAGATCATATTTCGAAAGAAGTGTCAGCACCGACGCAATTCACAGTCCAGTAAAGCCGATTTTGTAACCGAACGTTTTAGTTCTCTTATCATGGGTACAGCCACTTACACAATGCCTCACCTTGTACTTGTAGCAAAGTCGGGAAGACTGGGAAGACTTGTGAATTAGAAGTAAATTGACTCTTTAAAAGCACTGGACCGTTTCTTGTAATAGCAGCATAGCATATGGAGGAGGCAAGACTGTCAAAGCAGCCAAACAGATAGCGCAAATCACAAAAATATAGCACTGTTACCACTAGCTGCTCGACAGCAGTCCCGAACGGGGCTGCATAGAAATAAATAGAATATCAAGTTGGAGTCCAGAAATAGTTTCGAATTTTCTAACACCAGTATTAGTCTAATTACACCTACTTCAGTTAGTAGTAGCTCTGGTCTATTAATCCTAAAAAAAACTATGCCAATTCAAAGAACTAGAGTCATTAGGTCCTTCATTTTTAGTTACCTAACTATGCCTAATTCAGTAAGCGTTCTAGGAAACTATGCAATGCACAACTCTCGATCAATCACTCAACGCATCCGACGTTACGGTCCCTAGTCGGCTGCGGCAGCAGCATCCTGGTCTACTGCAGGTAATCGGACTGGACCAGCTGTGGCGGCGCCATTACTGCTGGCACTACCATTCTCACTCGGTGCGACCTCGTCTAGGTTAATGATCAAGAACCCGTCGCCGTCATTGTCGCCCTCTTCTGGACTTCGTATGATATCCTCCACATAGCGCCGTACCACCAGCAAGTTGCGTGTGATGTCCGACCTGATCGTGTTGTACTTCCTGCGATTGTGCATCATGTGACGTGCACTGCTGCCCAAGTCGGCCTCCACATTGCGAAACTCCAACTCCAGCTCTTCAAGCCAGGTCTAAAAGCACACCGTGATTTCAGTGGTAACATCAGAGAATAGTAGTGTGACATGAGCACAATGACACAGTCACTGACATAGATTTATAGAGAAGAATAAGGACCAAGGAACTACAATTTATGCTATAATGTCCGCTACACCACCAGAAGTTACTAAACAATCAGCGCATGCGATAACATTGCACGGTACTGACCGTTTAGTAGTTTAGTTTTGAAGTTTAGTAACTTCTGGTGGTGTTAGTGGACACTATCTGAGCGTAACTGAGCGTAACTTGTAGTTCCTTGGTCCTTTTTCTTTTCTATAAATTCGTCCTTTGCTCTCCATCCGAGTCCATCACTGACATTGCTTGAGAAAATCTGTCAGAATGGCTGGATAGAGGTCCCAGCAAAAGAGAAGCAAAGTCATAGCTTCGTTCATTTACCCATGTGCAGCAAATGTTGTGTTCTCAGCACAACTTTTGCAGGCATGACACAGTGGCTGCTCTACGAATACTGATAGCGTGAGTCATGCTGGATGCGGTACAGCGGCCCAAGACCTGCAAACAATGGACTGTGTGTGCCCTGGTGTATATGGCAATAGCTTCACTCGTATGATCAGATTTCAATGAGCAGCACTGTACAATGCATAGCAAGCATACCCATACACACATACCCATACTTGTACACACATAAGCATACACACATAAACATACACACATAAGCATACAGTCAACTTCGCTAACAACAACTGCGGATATAACGACAATTCGCGAATAACGACAGGATTTCCATGCCTAGAGCAAAGTCCCATCCAACTGAGACTTGGGGTATAACGACACTTTGTGAATAACGACACATTTCTGATGCCGCGCTGAGTGTCGTTATAAGCGAAGTGGACTGTACACTCATAATTCTACACACATAACCATACACACTGCGAGTTGTGAACACACTCAACACAGAGTTGCTCCCACACAACCTGACCGCTGCAGTCATGGAAACACCTAGGTTACACAATATGGCTGCTTATATTATTACTAGGGACAAAAATTAAATAAATAAATTTCACGGTTCGCGTGAGACTCGGCCGGATGCCGAGTTTTCCGCATCCGCCGTGTGAACCCCACCACCCTCTAGGATCAAGGCACAGATGCAGCGTCTCAACGGTGGGAGGTGAGTAGATCAGACCCACCACCAAGTGGTCAAAGACCGAAATCCCATTAACTGCATCCATGTTACCCTCGTGCCAGGCCACAAGTTCCCAATTAACTGTGGGTCGCATTACTAGCACAAAAAAAGCGTATAATTGATAATGGCCAACCCGTGGGTGAAAACATGGCTGTCAACACACAATCCTGACAAGCACCTAGGCTATATTATCAGTAGCAGAACCGTGACAGACCTGGCCAAGCTGCTTGTGCTAACCAATCCCACCCCCCCCCCCCCCCCACACACACACACACACACACGCTGCGCAACACAATAATATGTGATGGTACTCGTAAACAGATGATCATGCTCAAGGCCACAGATTGTACGAACAATGATTGCCACTCATTCTTTGTTCACTCCATCTGGGTGATTGGTGATGAGCATTGCAGAGCTGTGCAACATGAACCAGAGTACTCAATTGGGTACTTTAGAGGGTCTTTGGAGAGTCTGTCAGAATCTCAGAGTACCACCACCAGCGTAAACAGGTCTCAAGCCCTAATCGAGTAACTCTGCTAGATTTTCACCAAAGCCAGAGTGCCTGGATATCACACATATCAGTCACTCCGTTTACCTTAATTTACCTGGAGACTAATACCTGGTATGGCTATTTGGCTCTAGGGAGGTTTTATTTTTATTTTCGGCCAGTCGGCTACAATCTTTTTGTCTTGGGGTTAGATACGGGAAAGTAGCCATGTAGGAAGAGAGCCCGCCTTCCGGCACCGGGAGTTGCAGCTCGCTTGACTCTACTGAGTGAAGAGGACTCACACCTTGATCTAGGGAGGTTGATTAATGGGCGCCATATGCTTTCAGCATCCTGCTGGTAGTACACTTCAGCCCTAACACCAACATTCTTTCGGATTGGGGAGTCTCCTTTGTAGGGTAAAATTCAGGGGCAGGCGATCACTGCATGTGCCCTGGCTGAATTGAAGCTTTCTTTCCAACCACCAAAGTAACATTGGACGGACGCAAACAATCGAAGTGCTTCCCCCCCCCCCCCCCCCCCCCTGCCCAGCTCACCTCCACTTCACCACTGTACATCTGGATGCTGAAGTCCTCCCTTGTCAGTCGCCGTTGCCCTTGAAACAAGAGATAGCCCTGCAGAGGCAGAGGCAAAATAGTACAGCCTGCCGTGAGCATTACGAGATATGGGGATGCGGGGTACACCACCAGCTAGATATAGCACTCAGGACTAATAAACGTCTCCAGTTGCAGCAATCATGCAAGGTCAAAACCCATCAGTCTCTGAATATGGACAAGTGTCCAGAGCGACAGAACAGCCTACTACTGAGTTGAGCAGGAAGCGGCCAACATGTAATACATGTGACTTGCCCCCGCCGCAGGCCAAGATACCATGGTGTGCCTCAGTGTTACGTGGTAGACTCGGAGACTAGGTTATAGCAGGAGACGGAGTGCTTTGCAGTCACCAGAATCACCAGAGACTGGAGCAGAGCGGTGTCAAACATGCACTGTACCAGAGGTCAACGTGTCTAGAGTGCTGGCAACGGGCAGACACGCAGGCAATCCAGGAAAACAGTAACACGACTCATTCTACACACTACACCGTGTGATGTGGCTCATGGCACCGTTTACCTTGCGGCTTGCCTTCCTCGGGGCTGATTGCATACTTAATACTAATAATATCATGTACGTGAACATGATAACTATAGCGACTTGGTCACCGTACTGAGTAAACACTCAAAGAGCAACACTGAGACACGACGTGCAGTGACATCATGCTATGACATTTCCCTCACCTCTGCCGGAAACATGAAGAACGTGGCCTGTGAGAGGTCATCCGATATCTCGTTATAGCCTACCTTGATCCTCACCGTGTGATAGTACTCTGCGCAAGGTATGGAGGCAGTTCCAGAAGATGAAAAGAAGATCATTAGGTTGTTATCCACTCCAATTATGTACACTGTATGGTTCTTGGACATCCGTGTGTACAAGCATTCAGAACACGTTTTCCGTCAACAAAATGAAGAAAGAGCACGGAGCAAATAAGAGGAAAGAGGTCAGTGCTGGCCCACAGGGAGTCGTTACACCCAGGGAGACCATACTGTCCAAAACATTTTGCTTTTAGATCAAAGATTTGGCAGTTCTACGTCATGGACAAGAGAGGTGTGTGCAACAATCGGCCAAGACCATGACTTGGAACGAAGCCAACAGCAGTGATGTCATACACGAGCATGCACACATCAGCTCTGCCATGAAGGCAACTGGAATAGGCCCACTGGGAGCGAAACTGACATCAATCTACGCTCCACCTTCCCATGTCATCTCCCTGGATGCTAAGAGTCTAAGACTCCTGCGTGTGTGGCCACTCAAATCACACTATCCACTTCCAGGGTAATTACGTTTCAACAGGTCTTAGCATCCTCCATATAACATAGTCCACCAGTGAAGACGAAGGTAAAGACTGCCGCACCTCAACCCCACCAGGAGGAAATCAAATTAATCAACTGCTTCCCAGAAGAGATGCATTGCTTGCTCAATTAACTGCAATGACTTGATAAATAAAAGATTTGTGCCCCAAACACTTCAACCACACCCTACATGTACATTATGTTCTTCCTATTCCTGTTCTGCAGACCTTCCATACTAACGGCAGACCTAGGATGCTAGGAACTGCACGAGGTAACCGAGTACAGCATTGTGCAAGAAAGAGCAAGACCACAGATGGCATACATGTGCAAACCACTCATTCATGGACACACACACACGCACGCATGCACGCACGCACAATGACTGAAAGGGGGAAGGAGCGTACATTATTAAGACAGCACAGCTAGAGTAGCGACTTACTGGATCCTTTTTTTGATGATGTGATTTCTTCTCGTCCCTCCCCATTAGGAGACAGAGCCAGATGAAATACAAACGCATCCAGGATGAAGGACACAAGGATGTTGAGAACCATCTGAATGACAATGCATGTGTGTTTGCGCACATGTGTTGGCGTACATGTGTGTGTGTGTAGTGTGTTTGTGTGTGTGTGTGCGTGTGTGTGTGTGTGTGTGTGTGTGTGTGTGTGTGTGTGTGTGTGTGTGTGTGTGTGTGTGTGTGTGTGTGTGTGTGTGTGTGTGTGTGTGTGTGTGTGTGTGTGTGTGTGTGTGTGTGTGTGTGTGTGTGTGTGTGTGTGTGTGTGTATGTGTGTGTGGTGCGAGGGGGGGGGGGGAGAAAGCAAGAAAGATAGGAAACATGATGGGGGACAACATGAAAGCTTCCCAAGTTGTACATTGTACTGTTGAGATACCGAATTCAAATAAATCAATACAATACAAAAAACAGGTGGCTAAACTGCGGCAGGGAAGTTCTCAGTGGCAACTCAATGCAACCAAAACCATTTTTTTCATTTATTTCTGTATAAACGCAGTGAGACAAAAGCTGACCGGACAAAACACAAGTGTGCAGCACGAAACCAGGAATTCTGAATCCCCTGAACCACTACCACCGTCGCCGCCACGCCACCACCAAGAAAGGATCTGATTAAGGTTATCAGAGTGCTTAATGGAGCATAGCAACACTGCTAGACCGGAGTAGAAGGGAAAGTAAGGGCTCGTTTGTAGTAACTCAGAGAATCACTCTAACAGGTGTCAGGGTTCTAGCCAGGTCAAAATGGTAGGGGGTGGGCAGGGGAAACAGTTACCCTGCAACCCATTCTTCCATTATCCAAAATTGTCTCGTTACGGAAAATGCAACGTTCGGGGGTGAACCCCCGACTTCACCCCAGACAAGTGTGCCTTTACGAACCCTCTGTTGGTGACTATTGATTGCATTTTCATTGAAATGCCTGAAAAACACACGAAAATCGACAAATGAGTAGGGTCGCCACATTTTCACAGGAGGGTGCTCAATCGAAGTAGGAGGGGTGCTGCCCTCCCCCACCCTCCTTTGGTTAGAACCCTAGGTTTTAAGGTGCACTGTGCCTCTGTGAACACTGCTAGAATGAATATATCCGAGTTGCAGAACACACAGCACACAAGCTGAAGCTTACTTACCAAGGATAAAAAGTAGTAGACAAAGAAAAATACGCGAACCCATCCCGATGTCTCCGAAACAAAACCATTCTATGCATTGTCAACGACACAAACACAACCAGTACCATAATAATATCTTCTCTGAGAAATTCCAAAGACTCCAGCAACGGCACCATCTCCAACAGTGACAGAGGGCAAACTCATCATCGGTTGTTTGAAACAATACAAGCTCATACAGCATCCAATGTACGTGCAGACCATTAAAAGTTATTTTGGATAATTATAATGTTGACTGCTGCAACCAAGAATGCCGCAGTGCATGTAGCATGCACATGTATATGAATGTCCACGGTGATCTACTCATATCAACATTGTATTTTTAGTCCATATTTGCTTCTTTTCCTTTTCTTTTCGACCTCTTGCTCTTTTCTTTGCTAGCTATGGTTGGCTATAGAAACCTTGTAATCGCCACGCAAAGTGGTCATTGGCTGCCCCAGCCATGTATTGCTTGGAATAAAACTAAAAACTAAACCATGTTGCAATATGGCGATAGCATATTTATAAAATTAAGAGGGTACAAAACGTCTGATAGTACACTGATAATTATGAAAGTGTCTATCAAGATACAAAAAAATGCAAAGTTAGCGGGTTGAAGGAAACAATGACCAAGCAACACTCAGGGGCACTGCAATCTGACATCTTTCAGATCATGAAGCTACCTCAAGCATCATTCAGAATTAAAGCTCCTCTAACGAATGAAGAACTTTTGAGTTCTCAAGTGAGTGAGACATACTACAGTATTATTTACTCACAAATATGTTCACACGGTGTCTCTTGTTCAAATTACCTCCCAGTAGAACTTGCCATTGTGGTCTCTGTCCCCCGACCCCTCTCTCCCTGCTAGTACCTGAAGATACCCTGCCAACCAGCCTGGTTTATGTTCCAAATGAATAATTCAGCCAGTCGCTCCGAGCTCTGCGGCTGAGATCTACGCAGCTAGATGTCTTGGTCGAGTAAAACAGGTCAATTCATTATCAACTTACCATTACTATCCACCAATTGTTGATCACCATCAGCTCAAACAGAGTAACTATGAACGAGAATAGACAAGCCCCATGCAGGCACAGTTATCTCATTATCTGCGCGGAAGCACAAGTACGTATCATGCATGCCTCTTTGGCTGTAATGCATGTGGCGCCAGGCGAACGAAATGCCTGTTGCATACCTCGAAGTACTAACATGTCTTCTGGATTAACTGTGGTACAGAGTACATGCACAGGAAACAGACAACTTCACGGTAAGTAAATTCATGTGGCAAGGATGAAAGCATACCTCATTGAGTAGAACAAATTCACGCACGCACACACATACATACACACAAACACGCACACACACACAAACACACACAAACACACACACACACACACATGTACACACATACACACACAAACACACACACGCACACACACGCACGCCCACACATACACACACACACACACACACACACACACACAGATACACACACACAAACACACACACACACACACACAAACACACACACACATGCATACACATACATTTATGCAATAACACACACAAAGTCACAAATACACAGAATCACACACACATGATAGGCGGGTTTATGGCTGAAAATCAGCCACATACACTACAGTAACACAGGATACCAAACAACAGGGACACTGCTCCAGGCTAGTGATGTTGGTTGATTTCCCAATTTTTCCGGCGTTTCGGCGAATACTGACAACTCGGCCTCCAGCCGAATCTCATGTGAATCGTGAATTTGTATCTAGCGCCTTCCTTACTATTTTGTGTTCGCATTATACCCCCCCCCCCCCCCCCATTGACTACAGGTAGACTGTGCATGCAGATTGCAGTGATACATGAAAACAAACACACACACACACACACACACACACACACACACACACACACACGCCGGTGTTCCGAAACTACTTTCCTATCCTCCTGGCATGCCCAGAAGTTGGTGTTTTTCTAGCCTCTGGCCTGGATATTCATCAGCCACCGGTTCTTTGGATATTCATCAGCCACCGGTTCTTTGGATATTCATCAGCCACCGGTTCTTTGGCACCCGATACTAGTGCAGGGAAAGAGTTAAGATTGTCCTCCCTGAGATTAAGATTGTCCTCCCTGTCCCTGAGATTAAGATTGTCCTCCCTGTCCCTGAGATTAAGATTGTCCTCCCTGTCCCTGAGATTACGATTGTCCTCCCTGTCCCTGAGATTACGATTGTCCTCCCTGTCCCTGAGATTAAGATTGTCCTCCCTGTCCCTGAGATTAAGATTGTCCTCCCTGTCCCTGAGATTAAGATTGTCCTCCCTGTCCCTGAGATTAAGATTGTCCTCCCTGTCCCTGAGATTAAGATTGTCCTCCCTGTCCCTGAGATTAAGATTGTCCTCCCTGTCCCTGAGATTAAGATTGTCCTCCCTGTCCCTGAGATTAAGATTGTCCTCCCTGTCCCTGAGATTAAGATTGTCCTCCCTGTCCCTGAGAAGAACAACGCGACGCGGACGATAACACGTGTAAGTAACGTACCGTAGCTCTGTAGAATGCTGTCAAAGTTGTTGAGAAAGTAGAAACCAGTCTCATTGCTAACATTGCCTTTCTTGTAGTACGTGGCAACCATGAACTCTGGCGACCTGTACACGTGTATCACACGATGACACAACATAACACCAAGCAGGCCGCACCATGTCAGGGTGAGAGTCACTATCAGCTAGAGCCCCACATCAGCACCCTAGAGTATTTCAGAATGTACTGTGGAACGGGAGCAAGCATACCTCACATGCGCATTGGAACGGCACAAAACACAGTGGCCAGAACCGGATTTGACTAGTCAATGCAACACATGAATTATAACACTACTAACAGTGGCTACAACTTAGAAGAAGTGACTGTCATATCACAGGCATTGCCATTAATACTTGAAGTGTTTGTGACGGAAAACACACACACACACACACACACACACACACACACACACGTGTGCGCGCAAAAACACACACATGTACATACACACGCGCACACTCATGCATGCATGGCCGCACATACATCGGCACATACACCCTTACAATCACACACAAATACACACAAATACACACACACAAACACAACAAACAAACAAATGCATGCTTGCTTGCTTGCTTGCTTGCTTGCAAGCACATATTCAAGCTCACACATACCCTCACACACACACACACATGAAAACATACAAACAGTGAAACATGTCGAAGGGACGAGAAAAATTGGTCGCCGTGGCCAGGTGGTCTTCTTATCCAGGTTCAGTGGGTCGCGTGAACATATTCACCATACAATCATGTACATGCAATATCTCATTTTGATGAGTGTATCACACTGCACACACCTGGGCTATAGCTATGCTACAAGTCATGTGGTACTATCACAACTCTTGTGCCTGGGGGCCTCAGATCTGTCACGTGACGTGCATGCATCATGTAACGGTACATCTACACTTGCTGCGCTGATGTGTAGATCTACCATGTGTGGTGCACAGTGCAATGCATGCCTGCACATTCATGTACTGTATGTACTAGTAGTAGTGTGCAACACGGTCGCGGGTGGGTGGTCGTTGGTCGCGTTGAGCGAGTGGTCGCCTTATCCGAGCTGTTTTGAAAGTGAATGCGTCCGTGACAAGGAAAGGTGGTCGCCATGGTCGAGTGGTTGCCATATCCGAGTGGTCGCAATTACAGGTTTTACTGTACACACATGCACACTCACACAGGGCTCACAAAATAATTTCGTTCTGAATAACTGGTACCTACTGGCAGCATCCAGGAAAGACCTTGCCAGAAAATGCTTCAATTCCGATGATGGCAAAGAAATAATATAGCAGGATTATCACCATGACGACACTGTAGCCACAAGAGCAGAATCACAGTTGTCATGGTGAGTTCAAATGGCAGAGGCACCAGTGTTGAATACCGCCTAAAGACGGAGATTGGCTCATGATTTAACATGCAACCTAGCAAAACCAAAACATGATCACAGTAGACTAAAAGTATCAACTGACCATCGGCATGCTTCTAGCCTATACATTATCTACATGGCCGTAGCTGAAACCTCTCCATTGTTGTAAGCTTGCGCAATCTGGTGCATTCACAAGTCACAACACCACCACCACCAAAAGTGCACACGTTTTGACGGTCACACTTGCCCCACAACGTCACTTACTTTCCCATCTGCGGCACTAGTCCAACAACGGTGGAAATGACATCTCGATAGCGCTGCTTTAACTGGAAAATCCTGCCAAGAGCGATAAACACACAATTCATTTCCTTGGGTCTCCCAAGATGCTTCTTATTAGATTTCCTTAACACATCAGGGCAGAATCAGCCACATGGCTTACACGGAAACAGACCTACTAGCTGCCTGGGCCGGTGTCAGGTTGAAACATGGATCAACGCTGTAAACAGTCTTCGGACCTTTTCCGTACTTTAGAAGGTCATTTCCTCCTCTAAGTTGCCATGCTATGTGACCGTGGCACAGGGGAATAAGACACCCAGTGATGGATACCCTGCTTCTGAACCTACTCCCGCTCAACACAATGATTGAGAGTACCTCCTGAGTCCTAACCGTGACACGAAATATTTTCAGGGAGAAATACATTACTGAATCCACATCGGATAAGGGGCCATCCGGCATTATCGATATTTTCAAAAGGTCAGTAAAGATGAGTTGAACATGGTTTTAACCAAGCAGCAATATCAATGCACACTATAGCAAACATTACGAGCCCAACTCACAAACAAGATACTCGAAGAAGGAGAAGAAACAAGAAACAACCAATCACTGCTCGCAAATATATTTCCCTCTGTGTTTTACTCATTACGCCCTCGTCAGCTATTACCTGTGGCATGCTCAGTGATTGCCCATACAAGACGATTCTAGACAAAACATATTGCTAACTTATCATTTGTAGTTTAGAGCCTATTGACTTTTTCGGCGTTTGCTTTCCCAAGAATCCAAATGGTTTATTCACAGAGAACCAACAATAATAGTTAAAGGGAGTGATAAGTGCTGATCAACACACCGACCAAGCACACACAGGACCCCGGACAGAAGGTCAAGCTCACTTGAGGAGGCGAAACGAACGCATGAAGACGAGAACTTGGAGTGCGTAAATGCCAGTGCCAAACCCGACGAGAGAAAGAACGAGAAGAGCCATGTCCCACCTGCACATGGATCACACCAGCACATGGATCACACCAGCACATGGGTCACACCAGCACATGGGTCACACCAGCACATGGGTCACACCAGCACATGGGTCACACCAGCACATGGGTCACACCAGCACATGGGTCACACCAGCACATGGGTCACACCAGCACATGGGTCACACCAGCACATGGGTCACACCAGCACATGGGTCACACCAGCACATGGGTCACACCATGTACCAGCACATGGGTCACACCAGCACATGGGTCACACCAGCACATGGATCACACCAGCACATGGGTCACACCAGCACATGGGTCCCACCAGCACATGGGTCACACCAGCACATGGGTCACACCAGCACATGGGTCACACCAGCACATGGGTCACACCAGCACATGGGTCACACCAGCACATGGGTCACACCAGCACATAGGTCACACCAGCACATAGGTCACACCAGCACAACCACAGCACACACTCCTGTCAATGCATGCAAGTACTTGAAACGAGGACACCCACTGATTCACTATAATATGATAAGCCTGCTGATTGACATGGAAGCACACGGAGAGCATCGCATAGCATAGAATAGCATATTTGGTAGATGTAGATGTAACAAATGCATGCTAAGGACTGTCATGTATACTAGTATACTGGCACAGCAAATCTTCTACTTCAGTCACATCATACACGCGCACTGCAAGTGAAGAATGGTGCAGTATGAAAAGCCTCCATGCAGTATCTCTTTCATTAGTGGAAGCTTTAGAGTGTATTCCAACATACTAGTACCCTGGGTAATACAGAGCACATCGTGTACTTACATATTCCAAAACAATAGAAAATATCGAATAGGCCCAGCTGACAGCAACTTTAGCAGCACTTCCAAGCCGCACACTATGGATGATGAACACATACGGATGGTGGAACAGAACATAGATTATCTTATACTGCATGGGTGTCTTAGTATAAATGCACCTGTTACAGATGTATAGTTGTGCTACAGTAAGTGATGTTCTGTACAGCATACATTCGTGTTGTTGGTGCATGTGCCAATAGTTGTAGCTCAGCATTATGCCAAGTGTAATGATCAGGCAATAGTGACTAGTAACAGTACTACAAGGAACTACATACACATACAATGAATCACCAGGTCAAGGCAACATGCCTGGGCGAATTTTACCCAAGCTGAGTACATAACAGATATCACCTCATCATTAATTTTGTACTCAATGACGATGTTACAGTTCACTAATCTCTTCCAATCAAGCAGCATGTACATGTAGGCCTAAGTATTATTATTATTATTTGAGGGATTCCCCAAAGGCCGAAGCCTAAATCAAGGGGGTCTCCGAGACTTGTGCCTGCCCCATCTTTAGTCTTCAAATCATTCTATCCTCCCGGCACAATGAACCCGCCTTTCCTCTCTGAGACATGAACACAGGTTGAAAGCCCAATGCCATAACTTACGTGTCACAAAGACCGACACTAATACCACATAGTCCACTCTGCCATAGTCATCTGCATGCACACAGAGAGAGATTCAGGGGAGAGAGGGAGAGAGAGAGAGAGAGAGAGAGAGAGAGAGAGAGAGAGAGAGAGAGAGAGAGAGAGAGAGAGAGAGAGAGAGAGAGAGAGAGAGAGAGAGAGAGAGAGAGTGAGAGAGAGAGAGAGAGAGGAAATTGCCACATTCAATCCATGCGTGAAGACAGAACAAGGTCACTGAAGAACATTCCCAATCCACTGTGGTCATACAGTAGAGTGTCGAATTTCGCCCCGTAAAGCAACCCATACATGTGAATCACATTCGCATAATAATGATAGACTCGGATGGAGAGCCAATGATTAATTTATAGTAAAGAAAAGGACCAACTTGTAACTTTTCGTTCCTTGGTCTTTTTCTTTGCATAATAACGAATAAATGGTTACCCCGTGGTCTAAACCGTTGCTCTAGTAGTATGGCAACAACCATAAAGTAACACTTACTCCTGACAGCAATGTAGATCATGGCAACAACCATCCAAAGTAACACTTACTCCAGACAGCAATGTAGATCATGGCAACGAACGAGCAAAGGAGCAAAAAATCTACACAAAACAGAGAAACAAGTCTAAATAATTACCTCCCTTCAAAGAAAGGCATCCCAATTGTGATATCTAGGAGCAGCCAATGGTGATAATACATGTGCCTCATCCAAATCACATCCAGCCCCACTGCTACTTATCACACATCCAGTCTTCACTGAAATACACATGCCGTCTCAGCACAATCATTGCTGCCTCTGCAAAGCCAATCCTTGCATTAATAGAATGTTGTTTGAGGGAGTTAAACTGGGAAAAGTCTGAAGAAGAAAAAATGATTGTCACCACCAGGATTCGAATCAAGGGACCTTCGCTTATGGCCAGCAATGTTCTATCACTGAGCTATGGTGCAGTCGTCATCCCAGCGACCGTTTAAAAATTCTAAGGGATGCAGTGTGTGGCTTTATATACCAGATACATACCATGAAGCGCATGTACATGTATGTTCAATGCACACTGCGTGTTTGCCCTACTTGCATTTCCATTCTCTATCGTCTTAGTACTCATCTTCGTTCTCTTCACTTGTATTAAAAACGAATAAGTCACCTGTTTGATGTGGCTCTACAACCATTACACGCCAGATACACTGATCAAGCAGTGCATGCAGATTAGCACCGCCAGGAGTGTGGTACCGACAGTACGGTGCAAGAAAACACAACAAGAAGTACAGGTCCCAACACAAGAGAAATATACGGCCCGAAGCTTACAAGACAGGAACGAGAACAACTTGCTTCGGACGAAGGCATCGGGTCCTGAAATAACATGAAAACATGCAAAAATAGAAGTTAGAGGAAAGCGAGGAGAAATGAGATAATTATGTATTCTTGCTATGTGCAATTAGTTGAGATGAACAGCAAAGAAAAAGGGGCGACCCAACGTGAATCATCGTCCCAACCTTCAAGTTTTCTCATATGTGAGCACTAGAACAATGATGGACTCACATAACATAGTGAGTCACATTCATATTGATGGTGGAGGCCGTAAGCCACTGCTTACAACTTGGCATGATGCCTACTGTAAAGTGATAGGATCAACTGGTTCGAGAAGTCGGGGAAAGAGAAAGCATACCTCTGAACAATTGAAATAGGCATGCTGGAAAATTGCTGTACCAGGGAACTTGATTGAACAAGCGGTCAACCTGCACAAACAAAGATGAGGCACAAATGGTAACCCGCAGTCCTAAGAAAATATCAAGTGTGGAGGGTTCTGAAACGGAGGGAAGTTTGATGCCAATTACTTCTCAAACGCTGTGTGGCCAGTAAAATGGAGGTCGCGATCACTATTGTATTCTATGGGATGCTAGCAAAGTATGTATCCTTGCTAGAATAAGAAAGGTTGGCAGTATAATACAGGGAAGAGAGAGAAAAAAAATAGAGAGAGAGAGAGAGAGAGAGAGAGAGAGAGAGAGAGAGAGAGGAGAGAGAGAGAGAGAGAGAGAGAGAGAGAGAGAGAGAGAGAGAGAGAGAGAGAGAGAGAGAGAGAGAGAGAGAGAGAGAGAGAGAGAGAGAGAGAGAGAGAGAGAGAGAGAGAGAGAGAGAGGGAGGAGAGAGGGAGAGAGGGAGAGAGGGAGAGAGGGAGGAGAGGGAGGGAGGGAGGGAGGGAGGGAGGGAGGGAGGGAGGGAGGGAGGGAGGGAGGGAGGGAGGGAGGGAGGGAGGGAGGGAAGGAGGGAGGGGGGAGGGAGGGACAGAGAGAAGAGAGAGCTTGCAATTGCTTTCCCACCATGTCTCTCTTTTCTTTCTACACAAGCTTTCTAACAGCTAGGTCTCTGGAGATTAAGTAAGCCGTGTGCATGTACTCTCAACGAATAAGAGATCAATTTGATAGGGAGGGGGGGGGGGGCTGCTGCTCTGCCAAGCAAGCAGTCTAAGATTCCTTGCATGTAGTATGCACCAGAGGTAGACTACCTACGCACCTGTATCCACTTCAACTCAGTGACTTCATAAATCCTGTAGCAATCACTGCGGCTGCAAAGGAAGTATAGCAGAAACCACATGGACATTCACAACCAGATACATTATATACCCGTGACCCTCATCCAGCAGGATATGCCAACAGTAGATCTACTATTGATCTTTAAAGTCCCACACAACAGATAGTTTGGGCAAGAAAGTACAGAATACCTGTCAAGGTGACCACTCTGCTAAGGCAATCACCTACCACAGAGGACCACTAGAACCAGGCCAAGGGATGCTATTCCCAGTCAAATGACCCTGTATAAGAAGACCCTGTACAAGGGGGCCACATTTGCAAGGTCCCCTGAGCGATTGGCTTAGAGACGTTTCAGTGTAAATGCAAAGCAATGAAATACACACCTTGAATTGCACAATAACTACACAATCTAGGCACAGCGTGAACATCATCATAACTCATGGCACAACATAACACGGTGATTACTTAGGATCCTCCGGTACAATCTCTACCCTTACACGCCAGTGGATGAC